ACTAATCGAATAACATGGTTTATATAACCTGTAGTCTCTTTGCGAAATATCTACTCTAAATGAGTCAATATACTGTACATACTAAACTACATCTTAATAAAGTAGATATATTAATACATTTATAGACATTTCCACGTAAGAGAATAAAAGTAGGTTTTATAACCTACTGTTGAATTTGGTATAACTCGGAGTGGATAAGTAAACACTATTACGTAGTCAATATTGATGACTGTTTGTAGAGGAGCAATCACTTTTAATACCATAACATCTGGACAAGTAATCCGCAAAATATTAAAAACACCTGATATAATACACGGTTTGAAAGTATACACAAACATAATTTATTTTTTATATATATTGAAATCCATTCTTATTTTAACGACAATCTGTCATATTGTCATATTGACTATTTTTACTTTAATAGAAACTTTGTTATTTAATAGAGAGATTTCAAATAGTAGTGAACTGCAACAACAAAAATTCATTTTAAATTATTTTAATTAATTGAATTTTTGACTGACTCTACAGCTGTTACGAGTATTGCCAAATACCCATCATCAGTGGTCTTGGAAATAATTCTTGTATTTAATTATTCGTAAATAATTTTTTAAGACTGCAAATACCAGGAATTAAAATCGTGCCCTACCAAATTTGAAGCTCAGAGTCAACGCTCCTTAACCAACTGACAAATCACATTTTTCTGAAGTTTTGTGAATCTCATGTGAAATTTTTGTTAACAAATTTACTTGCTGTATTATAGTTTTTCTACCAAGAGGTAGTTGTAAATTATTACAAACTTCAATCTAATCGATATTCTTATCAGATGCCTAAAAGCTTGTGTAGCATAAGCTTTTAATTTTTTTCTTCTATGCGGGATTTATGTCTTAAGGCATCATCATAAAAGCAGTCTACATACTTTCTTTTGTAGGCATCTATATAAAAATGCCTTCCCAATATTTAGAAGCTATCGGTCTTAAATGCATAGTTTTCTAATGGAGCTGCTACAATATATGTGATATTGCTGGTATGTGGCCAACAAACTTGCCTTCATTTTCTAAGGTCTTCTAAGGTTTTCTAAAGTCTCAGTAAGATGTTAGGCATTACCATTAGTGCACCACTGAATTATTAATAGATAACTATAATGTGAAGCGAAACTATCTTTGGTTTTTATAAGTCAAAAATATTTATAATCCGATTCCAAAATGTAAATTATTTTCCATTCTAGTTGAAATCAATAAACTGCAAGCCAAGTAAACCAACTCTACCTCAAAATGATTGGAATTATTTTATTGCTTGTATTGGTCGTCATAATAGCCGGTTTCTACTTCTCCAAAACTACAAAGGATATGCCAAAATCTTGGTATGAATGGAAGACAGAGTTTCGATATCAATTTATTGGTATGACTGGTCTCATACATGACTTCTCCAACGAAAGCAACGACAGAGTCGGTTAGTGTATTTTGTGTTTTTTTTTTATTAAATAGATTAAAGTATATTAATCGCATTCAAATTCAATGTTTAGAGCTCTACAAACAACCTGGACGTGTTGCTATTATCACTGGTGGTAATCGGGGCATTGGTCTTAGAATTGTCGAGAAACTTTTAGCTTGTGATATTACCGTGATTATGGGTAAGTACACGATTACGATTACGATTAAAGCTGAAGTTTATGTGTTAGCTTGGCATTTTATATGAACTTTAATTATTTGGAATTGTGCCTTGATGCAAGTTTCGATATTAAGAATCGTAGGAATACGAAGGAGTGTTGAGTGATTTTTATATCTACTAAATACGTGATAGGAAAGCATTTTATTCAGTGAATTTGATTCAAGTCAGATAACCCGATTTATTGTCACCACAGTGTAGTTCAAGCAATTGTTGATTCCATAAGAAAACGAGTTCAGAATAATAAGTTGTCGCAATAAATAAATAAAAAAAATTACTTTGATAAATTTTAGCAAAAGTGGGATTTTTTTAGCATTTTCTTAAATGTTTTTAAAAAATACATGTCATAAAAAAGCAAATAAGTCAAGTAAATTCACACGTTCTGACTTTCGTTTTATTTTTGAGTTAAGAGCAGTAAGTAATAATTTTTTTATTTTGAATACAATTGACAAAGTATTATTTGAAGTAATTATTATTGAATTTCAGAAAAAATAAGAAATATTACATTAAATCGCGGGCCTTTTAGTTATATGGAACAGTTAATGCTCGCTAGCTTGTTATTGCTTATAAATCTTTAACAAGAGCTTACTTTTGCAATAAGAACGTGAATTGAGAAATATCAAGCATTTTTGTTATTCAAAAGTCAACCAAAAACAGAAGGTATAATATTTTCATAAAAATACATATACTGCTATATAAATCTAGTCATCTATAACCACATTTAGAACTTTAAAACAAACTAACTTGGGTAGAATCGAATATTATTTGCCTTGTAACCGTGCACATCCAATAGATAGATTAGGTTTGATTTCTTTAACCTTTAAGCCCACTTTCATTGTGATACTACAGTACCTAATAGATAAAGAGAAACACATAGAAATTAAGAGTTCTAATAAGATCTTTGCAGCATATGCTAACAGAAGGAAGGAACACTATCTAGCTTTTATTCATTATACAGATATTAAAAAGGCGTCCTCCTCTTGTTTTCTTGTGATATCGTAAACCCTATTAAATTTTTTAATAGATTGGTTTAGGTGAAGTGAATGGTGAATTTGGTTCAGGAACCCACACTCTTTAAACTTTTAAATTACTAGTTAAAAAGAGGACTTCTAGTTGGGTGGAATTATGTTTGTGAAGTGATTTTTTTGGAGCATTGTATCTAGTAGCTTACGGTTCTGTGTTCTCTCCTACTGATTTTTGAAATTTCATTAGAGATATATTATATGTCGCCTTGTAAATATTATTTTAATTTTGATTTGTTAATTATTTATTTAAAACTTCTACTCTCATTTTACTTTTCATATATTTAACTATCTTATTTTGTTCTTCTATTTAAATATCGATCAAATTCCTTTGCATACATCTCGGCATAAAATTATAACTATTTTAACCTAACATAATGAATTATACTCTTTTCTGCAGGTGTACGCGATCCACAAAGCGCTGAAGCTGCCGTTAGTAAAATAGTTGATCTCAAAACCACCAAAGGCAAATTGATTTGTGAACAATTGGATGTTGGCGAATTGAAATCAGTAAGACAATTCGCCGCAAAAATACAAAAAGACTATCCAAAAGTGGACATATTAATAAATAATGGTAATTATAATCAAGCGAAGTAATAAGAAAATTATAGACCAAATATTAATAATTAAATATGTCACTAATTATTTATTAATTTTTTTATTTAAATATTTTTTAATAAAAATATAAAATTTCTAACAAAAAAGAAATTGATTAATGTTTGAAACATTTTATTTAAAAAATAGTTCATTCCTTCATATTTAATTTTAAATAAATTTTAAAAGTGTAAGAAGTGATATAAACGTAATGTATTGTATTTTTAATTATTATATATAATATTTAAATTTATAAAAATAATAATATTTAAATTTATCATATAACACAATATATAATATATATTTTATATATAACTATATGCATTGATTATAAACCGAATCGAACACTTAATTGGTGTCAATCAGACTTTTCAACATTTTTGATTTATAGTTATATCCTTTTCGTCAGGAATAACATTTTATTTTATAAGAAGATATTTATTTATTTATATATATAAAACTTTTAAGTCATTATTATTGTAAACCTTTCCAATTTTTTCTAGAATATCTGATTGCCAGCTTATTAATCACTTATTAATTTCTTTTTAATTTAATTATTACATTGTAATATACATAAAATAATAATTTTTCTTTACGTAGCCGGTATTATGTTTGCTCCTTTTAAACTCACATCCGATGGATTTGAGTCTCATTTGGCTATAAATTACTTGGGTCATTTCTTGCTGACGCATTTACTATTGCCACAACTGAAAGCTGCAGGGACCGCATCACAGAGAGCACGTGTCGTCAATGTATCTTCTTGTGTGAATTTGATTGGTCGTATTAACTACAATGATATAAACGGAGAGTAAGTTTTTAAATCTTCCATTGTTTAGCTATTCAGTACATTCGTAAACTATCTTACAGAAAATACTACTATCCTGCCACTGCATATAGTCAATCGAAATTGGCTCAAATCTTAGCCACACGCCACTTACAAAGCTTATTGGACAAAGAAGGCGCATATGTACAAGTTAATGTTGTGCATCCTGGCATAGTTGATACTGATCTATTCGAGCATTCCGCCACAACTTCAGTGCCATTCTTCAAAAAGCTCTGCTTCAAGACACCTGAACGCGGCTCACGTACAGTTGTTTATGCAGCTATAGCGCCGGAAATTGAAGGTCAAGGCGGTATTTATTTCAGCAACTGCGTAAAAGGACCCATGCATCCTGCAGCTAAGAATGCTGAGAAGTGTGAAAAGTTTTTCAATTATACTTGTGAACTGCTGAAATTAAATGAGAAGCAGTAATTAAGGAATACTTGAGTGTGGAAAAAATGACAAGAGAAATGAGAAGAGCGACTGGAAGAGTTGAAGGATGTATATGAAGGCTTAGGAATGATTCAAGGGACAATTTTATGAAGACCGCAAGTTTTCAATTAGGCGCAGTTATGAATTTGAGAACACAATTTAAAAATTTATAATACATTTTTTACAATTTTATCCTAAAATTATATATATAACTTTTATTTTAAATCTTAAATTAATATTTGATTTCTATATTTTATATTAAATTACATAAAATAATGATATAATATTTTTGTATTGAGAATTTTTAAACTTTTATTAAATTATTTTTATTTTTTAAGTTTTAAGTCACTTTAAATATAACAAATTATTTAGTTATGTTAGTCAGCTTAGTTTTGTAATTAATTTATTTAAATTAATTTAAAAATAAAAGTAAATATTTTACCAAAAATTTGAAATTCTTACGTCAGTACTTTGGACCGTTGAAGACCAGAGGTCATGAAGGCAATTAATTTTTGTAATTTAATTTCATGGTCGTTGTTGAAATATTTTCTTTATATAGTTTGCAAAAATTGTTTAGGAAAATTAAAATAAAAACAATTTTTTAATGTTTAAATACGGATTGTGCTATGCGCGGAATCAACGGAAGCAACTCATCTCCAGCTGCTTTGAATAAACCATTTAAACGCACAGCAGGTGCCTCAGCTCTCAAACTCCAAGCGAAGAGGCTTCGTCAAATATTACAACAACGTAAAAATTATGTACGCAATTATTAATATGTCAATAATATTAAAGACTCCCTCAGACGAGTCCGTGGGTGGTCCACATCATTCACTTTAACTATTTAATAGACTTTTATTAACTGCTAAACGATGTACGTACATCGAGACAGCAATATCTGGTAATAAAATCTTAGTTGGTGTGCAAATATGTAAGCTTTTTTAACAACATTAATGATGACATGTGATGTGGATAAAATACTTTTTAATGATGAAGTGTTGTTGTTAATTGGTAAATGGTAGCGTGTCGGACAGGAAGAAGTTAGTTAAATAGAAAAGTACTAAATTCAAAATTTTTTATTGGGTCAGCTTTAGGTAAGAATTAATTGAATTAATTAGTTATGGGAGTAAGTTGTATGGACTCGAAACCGTGAGTCAGTAATTATTGAGGTCACCCTAAGCTGGCTGACCTCACTAATTACTGGACATGTCAACTTCAAGTATCACCTCAAAAAGATAACTCTTGCTGAGGAAGACACTTTCAGACTATGTTTAGAAGCAAAGGAGACAGCGGTGCATATATTGTGCCAATGTCCAGCACTGGCAAGTAGAAGGAAGACTGTCTTGGGACACCATTGGGTTGGTGATGACTTGGCAGGCAACCTCAAGGTAAATGAGCTGCTTGCATTAACAAGAGATGTAGTTATGCGAACGAAAGCCACTCCAGCTTTAACTCAATAACGACATCCGAGAATAGAAGGACGAAAAAGGACCCAAGTAGTGAGGCCACTTGTTCAACGGTGCGCTGTCCCAACATCCCACCATAAGTGAGTAAGTTGTATGGACAGCCAAATTGCCAACAGCCCAAGCTAACTTTTACAGATGCATGAAATTTTTTTTTTGGAGATGAGTTCTTTTGACCACTCCTAATGGACAGAACTTAGAGATTTCATTGAAAAGGTTAAAACTACAGTATCATTTAAGGTTACGTACTGTCTGATGAGCTTTTGCTGGGGTCACTAGTGATAAAACTCCATTCCCTTCTAACAACTCCTGTTGTTATAATTCTGTGGAAAAAAGGATACTTGCTTTCTTACCCCATGGTACCAGCCAGATCTAGTACTAGTGGGGATTTCGAGCTGTCAGTGTGAAATATATTAGTTAAATCCCTCAGCATGATCTATGAACTTAACTGTTGATCTAACGAGGAAGTGCTTTCTTCCAAGGCGCATTGAAGCCACACATTCGTTCATGGGTATCACAAACGGCGGGCACCGTTTGAAAGCTGATGGTATATATACCTGTCTATGACCTCTATTAGATTCAACTTGCTTTACTTCATGAATTTTACGTGTAAAGGCAATGTAATATGGTTTAAAATATTCTTTAAATAGTCACCCAAGTTATAGATAAAAACATTTTTGGATTATGATTCTTATAATTGTAATTATCATGTGTACGAATATGATGGCTCAAAGGAGTGTTATAAAATTAATTACTTCTTCAATGAAAACTCCAAATATTTTATAATAAAATATTGACATAAAAAGAAATTACTTACCTAACAAGAGTTTAATTGTTTTAATGTCTTTTATGTCAAAAGTGCGACTTTAAAAACTTTTACTGTCAATTTTATTTGTAACAAAGAGCACTGCTTTAGTTTGCAGACATCGATAATTACCAGTAAAGCCTTTCACCTGCCAACATAGCTTACACTTGAGCCGGTATGTCATGTCATCCCACTGAAACGATATCAATATTTAAGACTGTACCCGATGACTCCGCAAAATTTCCGGCGGTGCAAAATATGTTAACACTTTTTCTTTCATTTTATGTCTGCGAATTCGACATTGATCGAGTGACGCGTTTATACAGCATAAACAATATAACCCGAAAAGTACGCATTTGGACCAGTCCGAATCATAGGAGAGTGATAATAAATTACAAAAGTCAAAAATCAAAAATCGTTGCCTTTCAAATAAAATCTCGCAAAAAATTGCTTTGAAATCGAAACTCTACTCCACTCCACTTAAATGTAATCAATTTTAAACGCGAGCCTTCGCTGCCCTACGGCCAGGTTTACCATAAAAATTAACAATGATTTACCCTCCGCACTTTGCATAAATTAATTAAGTCTTCAATGCCTTGAAGTGGGCGTTCTATTTACTTTGTTCTTCTTTTTTTGTTGTATTTGTTTTGTCTATCAAATCTTTTATAATGATTTGAACAAAGAATATTTGACCTATATGCTGCTTAAACCTGTTGTACTAAGTATGAGTTAAATGCATATATGGATGATATATACCATCTCTTTTTGATTTGTAAACTCGTTATACGTCGGTGTCTACACTAACTAGGCTTTGTCCAGATCTTCATGTTCGCACACAAATACGTATTATTTATGAATTTTGTTTTCGAACTATTATTTTTATGTCTTATTATAATATAGTGTATCTGTTTCCTACAGTGCCCCTTCTAAAATCTTATAAAGATTTTATAAGGATATATTATTTCAACAGTAATTATTCTTATATTTTTACATTATCCAATAATATGTAACTGATACTATTTCAGGCTACAGTTTACTGGCACTTTGGCTGCTGTTGATATTGATGTATATAAATATGCCAGCTTAATTGAATGTCCGAATAAAATTAATTTAGGTTAACCAATTAAGGTTAGGTTAGGTTATACCGGCGATCCTATAGGGATCCACTTAGACCTATTGGCCCATTGTACTGTAGTATTATGGAAAAAGTCAGAGTTAAACTAAGTTTTCAACTGGAACCTTTGGCGAAGCTTAAAATGCTGTTTAGTGAGAGGTCTTGAAGTTGATCAAGATCCTCAAAGAAGGAGATCCTTCGATATTAAGTCAACGCCGTGTTCAATGTAATAGCATGGTTACCTATTCTAAAAGAATATGTAAGTAACCCAACCATACGACTGATATCAGGGGCAATTCTCTCAGGGGGCATCTAAATAAGAGAGTTAGATTTCCCTTTAGTGGAACGTGGTCAAACTGCATAATATTGCACGAAAAGTTAAATTTCATTGTTTAAAAATTTAACGATATTTCGCATGACCGATTGTACCGCTCCACTTTAATATCGAAATAGTTTAATTGTGATATTTTGATATTGCATCCAGTGGACCATAATTAAAACAATAATAGAAAAAACAATATAAATAATACTTATTATAATAAAAGAAGAAATTATTTTAAAATCGTTTATTGATATTTTAATAGCCAATGGCCACTCCACCTCCACGATGATGAGATCGCATTTGAATCAGTTGCGGCAATGTCTTAACCGATTATGCGTTGTTAATACGCATAAAGACTTCATTAAAAATTCATACTCTTTGTTAGATATTTTACAATTACTTCGCAAATCCGCGCACAATAAGCGACGCTTTTGTAATTCAGATAATTTACGAATTACGAATTATTTCCAAAATGGGTTTACTGCCGCGAGTCCGAACAAAAGGCAAGAGTGGCCGGCCACAAGTGTCTACAGTGGCTGTCATAATACGTGCATGAAATTTGTGAATTGCGTGGGGTCAAGCAATTTGCAAATGTGGTCGAACGATCGATCGGGGCTCGCTTAGTTGGTCGATTGGAAGGAATATGGAGCAAAAATAGACGCTGGCCATGAATTTGAAAGTATTTCGTGCTATTTTTAACATATATGCTCATATTATAAGGCAATTTGTGAATTTTTAAAAATGACTTATTTGAAGGGCTTCAATAGAAAGAATTAGAGCAGCAATTAACCCACGTAAGTGAACGTTAACTGAGGTATGTTAGACAAAAAATTTGGAATATTTCAAAAGGCATGTGTGCATAGCTTTCAATTTCGCAAATTCTGTCGTTTAATTTTAATGACCCAAGCAATCCAGCAATTTGCACAAATCGCAGCAACTCTCTCAGTTGCGCATCACATATGTTGTTCGCACTCCGGTTAAGATATCTCTTTTATTTCCCAATAAGTTAGACAATTTAAAATAAACATAAAAGGCAATAAAGTTCTGCAATTTTCCGCTCCAGTTCTTGCCGCTGAATCGGTGTTTATCTACAAGATACACGCTTCTATGGGATGAGATTTATTCACCTCCAACGCTAGCCAAGATAATAAATTAAATTTGACTTCGTTTTGCAAATTTACTGGAGCAGTTGCAAGAATGCAGCTAACAGCTCCACCTACTCAAGTGAGCTCATCGCGTCTGTTGGACATGTTAACATGTTAACTCAAGAATCAGTCAGAGACGGCATTTATTTGCATTTAAACAAAGTTAATAAATTAAAGAATTTGTGCAAACTTGTTTAGTTTTTAATTTAATTTTAAATTTTAATTTGTTTAACTCTTCCAAGTCCATTGAAGTCCATTGAAGTGTGCGGCTTCTTCGCAGCCCAGGTTTAAAATGCTTTTGCTGTGTTGTTGTTGTTGTTGTTGCTACACGCAGAGC